TCAGCTGCCTCCTGCACACTCCCCACTGGGGATGTGCCCGCAACCAAGGTACATGCCCTTGACCGGAGTAGAACCTGGGACCCTTCAGTCCGCAGGCCGATGCTCTATCCACTGAGCCAAACCGGTTAGGGCAAAAGCATCTTTTGATATTAAAGCTTTTTGGTGAGTTAAAGTTACTTCCTCACAATGTCAGAGTTTCACGTGGCATGTTGAACCTTCCATTCAATGAATGATATGAAGTTCACAAACTATGACTTAGACTTTGAATAAACAATATGGCACTTTAACTTTTACTTTCATATTGGACTGCAAGCTCCTGAAGTGCACAAATCATGTCCCATTCATCTTTCTGTCCCCAAATATGAACAGAAATAGGATTCCATTGCATTTCAACAGTGTTTCTACAAAGTAAAATATAAAACCCAAATTTCTCAAAAACAAACGCTGCATTTTTTTTAGTAGGAACACTAGAATTATACACTGACCTGATATTATTTCATGGCCAAATGTGGGGAAATGTCCCTTTGCTGTCCGTGAACTTCTCAGGTACAATTTATCGATAGATGTGTCACATGCTTGTGAAATGACAGCAACAACTGATCTGGAAAACATTTTAGATTTCAGGGGGCAAGAATGCTTTACAGTTGTTATGTAGAAATATCTGAGGCATGCAAAAGAATGAAATGAATAGGGAAACTGAGCTTTTTTTATGGGAAAGAAGTGTGGCATTTGCCTCAGTTATTTTTATGGATTAACTTGGCACACCTTTTCCTTCCCTCTTGCAAAGGGATACCTTTGGCTTCTGTGGTCTTAGTCCATAAACTTAGTTGCTGTGTTTTATAGCTCAACCCATGATATCAGACTATGGGAAAATTCCTCAAACTGTCTTACTTATCAGTTTCCTCAGTGAGGAGAAGGAAAAATAAAGCTAATTTACCATCTAAGCATGTTGAACAAATGCTATAACCAAGTAGACTATGCCAGTGCAGAATACCAGCTTCTTACTTTACCATTGTCAGTTTTGAAAGGCTGTCTTTACTTTATGATGATTCTGTTAAGAAAAAAAAAAAATGTCTGTGACCTTTAGCTTGCTTTGTATAGCCTCACTTAGCCTTTTTCATATGTGACACAGCATGTCATACCAACTGTAGCCCACTAAGAAAATTGTAAAATAGCACTTTCTCCACTTACAAAGGAAATACACACACACACACACACACACACACGCACACACACACACACACACACACACACACACACACACACTCAGAGAGCAGATCTTGCTATAGAAATTCTGTGACCTGGTATAGAAATATATGAAACAGGTGTATTCTGGAATGTTGAAAAGGAGAAAATAGGATTCAAATATACATGGCTAAATAATAAACTATTAGTATTGCTAGAAAATTGAAACATGGATTACTAGGCTTGAGGTAGGAGGTGGGAGAAAAGGTCCAGTCTCACATAGGTGAGGGAATTGAAGGAAAGAAAGCAGCTTTCTGAATCAAACTATGGCAAAGAAGGAGAGGTTGGAGCCTAGCAAAACCGATTCTGACTTGGCTGCCAGTACCTGCAATGGGGCCAGAGCCCATATTATCCTTTCTGGGGAGGAAGGGATAGCTCTGAGGGACAAGCTTTGGAATAATGCTTCTGGGCCACTCTAACGCCAGTCACCATAAAAGTACTACATTTGGTTTACCTTTATGGCTGAATTTATGCAGAGGCATAAAGTGATAGCCAAGACTCATCTAGTCCTCACTCCCACTCCCCTTTTGCTAAATTCTGGAAATTTATTTAATAGGAAACAAAGATTTTCATTTCCTAGAGATATATGACTGTTAGAAGGAAAAATCTGACTCAGACTTTCTAAGACTTACAACTCTCTGATTTTTCCTTGGAGCAATAAAGAACAGGAACCTGATGCTGGGAATGGAATGTTCATAGTGGTGGAAAAAATGGTACTGAAAGACCCAAGACAGACTTCCTTCATGAGCATCATGAGATTGCCTATGTAATTTCACTTAACTCATCATTTTTGGATCATTGTCCCTCCTCAATTAGTTCTCAGCTTCCAGTTTCAGCCTCCAATCTACCTTCCATTTGTCACTGGAGTGATTAATTTTTCTAAAATGCAAATCTGATCACAATCCCACTTCTTAAAATCATTCTTACTTTCTAAATGACTAGAAGCCAAACTACTGAGGTGGGGGAGGCAGTCATTGCCAGTCTGCCTCCAGTGAAACAAATCTGTGGCTAACCAGGGAGCTCTATGTTCTCCAGTAAAACTTTGAGCAGTTTTCTTACTCTTGTGATCTTCAAGTGTCAATCAGGTGTCACCTCTTGAGGAAACCTTTCCTGACAGCCATCTTTGACTGTGTATATCTTTATTATTATTGCATTGTATCTGATGATTTGCCTATATTCCCGATTAAACTGTGAATCTTGAGGGCCACGTTTTGTCCTTTTAGCAGGATTATTTAAGAAAATGGAGTCATCAAAGTGCCTGCCACTCAACTACAAAGCTGCCATTAAAAAAACACACACAAAAACATGACTTCAGATCTCGACAATTTGTTTCCAGAAAATTAGCTATTTCCATGAAGAACAGGTATTTTGATTATTCTAATCTTAAGGCATCTCCCCCCCCAACACCCCCGCGCCCCTCCCCTAGCTTAAAGGTCCAGGAGTGACTAGAGTTTGGAGGTTGGAGAAATACCACAATCTCTGACCTGTGACAATTCTTAAATGATGGCATCTGTGATTATCCATCACTGGGGGCTAGATGATAAAGCATTCTTGTCTTAATACTTCTACTTAGCTTAGAACTTTGGAAAATATCCAGCTATTTGGGAGATATGAGTTAAAACAACTGCATACTTAATACCTAAAGGGGGGAAGGGGTGTAGCAAGCTGTAATATCATTGTAACTAGCTAAAACGAATTTTCTTTGGGGAAAGTTAGGTTTGTATTATAGACACACTGCCATATCAGAAACAAAATTTTCTACCTATGATTTTCTGGTTGGCTAAAGTAATAGAAAACTTATATGGCACCCTGGCCTATGCACCCTACACAAAGAATTATTTATAGATGGCACTCCTATAAGAATATGCCCCCCAAACTGGCATCTCAATAAATTAATATTCCAGCTATATGGAGCAGAAGACCCTAAACCTCTCAAGTAAAACTAAAATTTACTTCAGATCCTAAACAAATTAATCAATTGGGAGAATGCCTGATATTTCCAAATACACTATATATCTGATCCTTAAGTTTGGCTCTGACTTTGGAGTGGGGGCGTGCCTTATGAGTAGGTTTGGATGTAAAGGCTTCCTTTCAGTTACTTTCGGTGGTGTATGTGGGAGAAGGTTGGATTCAAAGGGAAGGGAGGGATAAGAGCAGAGGACTATTATAGTTTTGCAATTTTTGAACAATGAACCATGAGTTGAGAAACTTCTCATGTCATTAAACTGAAAAGTGTATTAATATTTAAGACTCTTGATACATGTTGCCAAATTACTTTCTACAAGTACACAGGAAAATTTGTCTTTCTACAATGGGTCCTGCTTTCTAACAATTTGCTAAATATTAATTTGCATGTCTTAGGTTACTAGAAACTGCCATTTCTTCTGCGAACTATCCATATTTGTTTCTTTTCTATTGTTATTTTTAAAAATGTAAAAGTGGTAATAATTGCTTCTAATTACCATTTTAAACATTAATCATTTCCTTTGTGACTATTACTTTTATGTTTATAAAGTGTTTTTCTATCCCCTGAATCAAAAGCTATATTTTCACAAATTCCTTCCTTTCTAATACTAGTTTTCCTCCACCAGTATTAAATATCACACTGTTTGCACTTGAGGGGCACAACTAGTGAGCCTTTTGGTTAACATTCCAACATGGAAGTTCCACTTTCTATCTCACCTTATTCCACTCACATCTTCAAGGCTGCTTTTTCAAGCCTGTGTACTTAGTTCCTTTAGTTATAATGTTATCCATTAACTTTAAAATTTGTTTATACTGAATATATCCTGCAACACAACTAGAATATAAAATATTTGGTAACCAATGTATACCCAATTTTATGCATTTAGTTTGTGGCTAATCTGATTAAATTTTTATTTTGAATAGATAAAGAACATTAACTCCTGATTAGCTAGCTGGCTATAGATACAAAGCATGTTAATTTTTATAGGCACCTTTCTGAATTCAAGTAAATGTTTTGGTAGACAAGGATTTCCTACTTAAAGTCATTGACATAATATGAATATTAAGTACAAATATTGCTAACATTCTTGCATTCTTTAAACTATTTTACTTTGAAAACTTAAAAACTATCATGAAGTCATTAATAACATAGATTTTCATTTAAGGAATATTTTGAACTGTGAAAATACAAATTGAATCAAATTAAATTTTGAACACATATAGAGCCAAATATTTCAACAAAACTGCAGTTTAATTTCAGAAAATGTGTTAAAATATATATTTATACATCAATTTCTGACATACACTTAATGTGTTAGTATACACAAAATGATGTTTTCTCTTGAAACTGTATTTATGAAATGTACATTTTAATTTAAATACTCAGTATACACTGCACTTTATCTGCATGTTGCATTTATTAAATACATTAAAATCTGCAATGTAACAAAACGTCTTCTGCATACGAAATTCAAAACACCATTTTAAATGAACAAAAGATGGCTCACTTCATTTTTTTTTTCTTTACAACTAGTGTATAATACACTAGCTCAGCTCCACCATACTACCTGTTCTTTCTTTTTTATTTGACATTGTTCACAGACTAGTACATATTACAATAAGAGTGCTGAATAAAAACATGAGGTACGAAAGTGGTTCAAAGAGTATAGGTCATGCAGATCATGCTAGACAGCAAAGAAAATTGTGACCAAGAAAACACTAAATAAAAATACATAAAGAATGTGCATTATAAAAAAAAAAACAAAAACAAACCCCCCCGCCCCAAAACTCCATTACACAGCTTTGCTTCTTTGGTTACAAAGTAGGTTGAACAATTTCACAGCTTTTTTTTCCCACCCCCCGCCCCAAAAAAGTCATACGAAATGTTGAAAAGCAGAGGAATCGTGGCAATTTCTCTATTAGAAAGTAGAAACAAATGAACAAAGTTTTCTTCATCAAAATAGCCCAATTATTTATTATATCACAATAATTGGTTACTACCTGTACAGTTGCACTATGTTCTTCATACTTACACTATACAAAATTTACATTCAAGCTGAGTCTTTACTACTAAAAATAAATACCGAAGGTAAATTGCCATTAGTGTTAGAAATATGCCAGGATTCTTTTGTTCAATTATTGCCTAAACGTTTAATCTGTTAAATGCAATCCTGTCTTTCAATTCCTTTACTGATACTTATAATTATTCAAAAATTAAAAAAGTTCTGTGACATTGTTCATGTACATTATGAAAATAGCAGCCCTGTAATAAATAAAACACAAATAAATGAAAACTTATGTAGGCAAATGTTACTGATACTGAAAGAAAAGTGGCTCTTTAGATGAACTGTTATTTATAATATGATAGGAAGGCTCAGGGTAAATCCATGGATGACAGACACATGGAAGAGCCACTAAAGCTCTTAAAGGACCTCATACGCACCAGGTAAAATGCAGACTTTGCTTGCTTTAATAAACCCCATCTATTATTCTCCTTGTGTATTGATGACATAAAACTGGACATCAACAGCACTGCATGACATCTCAAAGAGAGGAAAAGCTCTTGTAGAATGATTGTCTAATACTGAAAAGGCCAAACACATAACCGAAGCATGGCTACTTGCTTTCATATAAAGTGGAAAGAACACCAGTGGCACACAGGATAGATTGCTTTCAGTTTTTTTTCTTAATGAGGCAAGAAAGCTTTATGCTGAGGAGACATTCGGCTGCTGTGGAGGTTGCGTTGGCTGCGGAGGCTGTGCTATCACTGCTTGCTGTTGAGAAGTGCTACCAGGATTGGCCTGTTGGGCTGGGAGTTGGGATAATTGATCATTGTTTGAAAGAGACTTTAACAGTGCATTTTCTCGTTCAAGTAAAGAGTTTCTTTCAACTAATTCTTTTATTTGTTCCTTTAGAACTTCCACTTCTTCTCTTACTGCATACATCAAATGGCTTTTCACCAGATCCTGTGAAAAACAAAATTAGGAATGTCAAAAAGAGAGAAAGGAAAAGGTGTTGCTATTTGGTTCTAGCCTACCTGGTGCCTTATAAATGTAAGTTGTTTTTATATTAGTTTTTCTGCTCTTGTTTTTAATGTTTCTACTATATCATGACTGGCCCTAAGGAAGATGGGGTAGAAAAAACCCAGTTTCCAAGTAGGGCAGCAAGCCCAGGATTTTTTCCCCAAAGTTTGGAGAGATTTCCAAAGATACTAGCTCCTTAAATTGTCAATTATAAGCTTAGAATTAACAACAACAACAAAAAAGTTTGAAAACCACATGCTTAGATGTTGGGCTAACAGTGGTCAGCAAACTGCGGCTCGCGAGCCACATGTGGCTCTTTGGCCCCTTGAGTGTGGCTCTTCCTAAGCCTTAGGAGTACCCTAATTAAGTTAATAACAGTGTACCTACCTATATAGTTTAAGTTTAAAAAATTTGGCTCTCAAAAGAAATTTCAATCGTTGTACTGTTGATATTTGGCTCTGTTGACTAATGAGTTTGCTGACCACTGGGCTAAGAGAACAAAGGATATTAAACTGTTATTAAACTGGTTATATAGTACTACTTTAAGAGATAAGGTGGTCTGCAATTTCCAACTTTAAAACCTTGTTTTTGAAAAAAGTTTGAGACTAATGGTCCTTATTTTAGCTTTATTTAAAATATGTAAGAATATTTTACATAATATAAACAGACTATCTTTAAGGAAACAAAAAATTTTAATAGTAATAGAAATCAGAACCAGAATCAATAGAAACAAGTCTATTTATTAAGACAGTGGTTCTCAACCTTCCTAATGCCGCGACCCTTTAATACAGTTCCTCATGTTGTGGTGACCCCCAATTTCATTGTTACAAATTGAACGTAATTAAAGCATAGTGACTAATCACAAAAACAATATGTAATTATATATGTGTTTTCCGATGGTCTTAGGCGACCCCTGTGAAAGGGTCGTTTGACCCCCAAAGGGGTCGCGACCCACAGGTTGAGAACCGCTGTATTAAGAGTACAAACAATGCCTGTAAATGACCAAAGGATGACAAAACTTTCCAGCTGAAGTTTTCATTTTAATGCTCTTTTGTCTCTAAACTAATTTTGTGCTGAAATATTTTGGGGAAACATAATGCATTTTGATTATGTATACCCCCCAAGATGGTCTTTTATCAATGGTAATGCATGAAATGTGAGATGTTGAAATGGGGAAAATATTTACTTCATTGGTATTTTTAGGCTAAAAATTTTCAATATTCTAACAACTTCAACTAAATCTCATTATAAAAAAAATATACTTTGGTCATCTTGGTTTAAATAAATTAGGTGTTTGTTTTTTAGACTTGATAACCAAGTGCTTCAATAGAACCAACAATCTATAAAATGAGAGGACTATAAACTTCTACTTACCATTGCTTGTTCTATTTTGTTGTCAATGGCTACACCACCTGCCCCAGATGCACTGGAAAAAATTACAATATTTCATTAAATTATTCTAAAAAATGCAATTTCCCTTCCACCTCTTAAAATAAAAAATCTATCTGTATTTTACTTAAAATAAAAAATAGTAATTTAAGTCTATTCTCAAATTTCAGTACTCAGAGCTCTCATTTTGAAAATGAGGATCTCAGCAAATAGATGACTTCTAAAAATCCTTTGTAGTTCCAACTTTTCTAATTTGCCTATGACAATATATGCTACTTTAAAAGTAACTCCCAATTTTATTCAGTTCTCAATTCAGTGAATTTACAAAGATAAATTTTGAATGAATTGTACCCTCTCCACACCTCTTAAACTTCATTTACCAAGTATATATCTTAAATTGCCTTTCAGGTGGAAATCCCAGTAGTTGCCTATTGCATTAAACATCAGATGATGACTTTTCTTCTATATATTTGATATTTGAACATCTGGTTTAAAATTTTTTTAAACTGACTTATAGAAATGATTCAAAGGGCTTTAGGGCAAACAGTACTTGCAGTGTTGATTAACAAGGAACTCAACATTCTGGCAGATCTACAAGCTTTGATTGCAGGTTATTAGCTGGCAAAATCACCTACTAAGGTATGTGGTTTGGACTAGTTTTTTCTGGAAATAATTGGAAGTAGTCTAGCAGGTAAGTACATCTCAAGTTCAAATATCAGCATGTATGACAGTGACAAAGAAGGCTGAATAACTCATCTTTGGCAGTAGTGAGGATCTATATCCTTTCTTTGGTGTTTTTGTAAATTTTGAAGAACAGTGATTAGGTTTTCTTATAAAGACAGACATGATATTTTAGCCCACTGTATCAATACAAAAAAAGACCTTTAAACAACTTTTATATAAAACCTCACTAAATATTCTTTATAAAGTATACCCCACCCAAGAAAATCTAAATGGTAACATATCTTAAGACTACTATACTTTAGATCAGCGGTTCTCAACCTGTGGGTCGAGACCCCTTTGGGGGTCGAACGACCCTTTCACAGGGGTCGCCTAAGACCATCGGAAAACACGTATATAATTATATATTGTTTTTGTGATTAATCACTGTTTTAATTATGTTCAATTTGTAACAATGAAACTGGGGGTCACCACAACATGAGGAACTGTATTAAAGGGTCGTGGCATTGGGAAGGTTGAGAACCACTGCTTTAGATGATTAGGACCCTCAATGTTATAACAAACTGGGGCTCAGAAATATGTCTGATGTAGTAGTGCCTTTTACATTATAATCCAAGTAGATCTGGTCATAATCCTGGTTCTGCTACTCACTACCCACATGACCACTACCAAATCAATATTTAACTTCCCTACACCTCAGTTTCCTCATCTGTAAAATGAAGGGATTGGTGTCAGTTCCTCACTAGGAATAATAAAACCTAATTCTATTTTAAAAACTTCTTAGCCTGGTGAGATTCAAAACTCTGAATCAAAACATGGAAAACACTAAGCTTTTTTATCTGAGCATTAACCACATTAATTGCAGCATACTACTTCACCTTTTGCTGCTATTTTTTTCTAAGATGAAAAAAGGCTTCTGTATACCCAAAGTGGTATCCATCTATCTATCTATAGATATATAATTAATAAATATTTATATTGGCCACAACTTGGTAAAAAAGATAGTGAGAGACATTTAAAGTTTGCCTGAGAATCTTAGATTATACTTTCTATATTTTTTATTTCTATGTCAAGGGAAAACTGAATTAGTTTTAGTCATTTCATGACTTAAATACATTCAATTCTTTCAACACATGTCTTAATTAATACACCTTAAATGCTAATTTTTAACTTCAATTTTATATATTAACAAAACCAAAACAAAAAAGCTCAAACCCTCAAAAAAAGGGTTCATTGCTTCTCTTTCTTAAATTAAAATCAGTAAGTTTCCAAATCATTCCTTTAGTTAAGGAACAATAATTAGCATGCTATTCTTTGCTGATTTAGTAAACTCTAGTCCTGGCTCAGCCCTCTTTTAACAGATACAGAGGAACAGGTTTTTAAACATAAATAAATCATGCTGAAAATGTGTGTCCCTTAAAAGTTATTAATATTTCAATTTTGTTAAGCATTGTACTTTAATAAGAATTAAATCAGTCACAGATACAACTACTATCACTATAGTGACCTTTAGCTATTTTGAAGGCTGTTACTTGTGAATTCTAGAATCTACTGCAGTGGTTTTCAAACTTTAGCAGCAGAATCATCTGGTGGTCTTGTTAAAATCCAGATTGCTGAGCTCCACCTTAGTTTCTGATACAGATTTGGATGGGGCCCAGGATTTTCATTTCTAACAAGTGTCCAGGTGATGCCCCTGCTGCCGGACAGACCATATCACATGCACTTTGAGAGCCACTGGCTTACCGAGATGAAAGTGGTAAGAATAATAATAATAAAACCTAATTCTATTTTAAAAACTTCTTAGCCCGATAAACAAAACTCTTCATGACCTTGAACCCTGCCTTCTATAGTCTCCTTTCCTCTCATACTCCATCTGGCCTATTGTGTTATGGTCTTACATAACTATTTTTGGTCTGTGGAACACATATTCTCTCAGGTTTCCATGCCTTTGCAGAAACTGCTCCCTCAACTGGAAATGCTGCCAGTTCTAATTCACCTGGTTCTCTTTCACTTGTTCCTTTCAGGGGTGGGGAACCTTTTTCCTAACAAGGGCCATTTCGATATTTATAACATCATTCAAGGGCCATACACAAAATTATCAACTTCAAAGTTAGCCTGCTATATTTAGTCAAACATTTAATTACCTCACCCCTAATGCCTTGGCAGGGCCAGTCCAAATGATTTCTCAGGCCTTATACGTTCCCCACCCCTGCTTTAGATGCTCCAGTGCCATCTTTTCTGTGCTGCCTTTTGATTTCCTAAGGTAGAACTCATTACTCCATCCCTCCTGTGGTCCACAAGTCTTTACTCACTCTGTGAATTCTGGGAAATTATTAAACCTTTCTAGACCATATTTTTTTTCCATCTAAAATAAGGGATTACATGCCCTAATTCATAAATTCCTGTGACAATGAAGTGGGCTTAAACAATACTACCACTGTTAACTGTGCTCGTGGAGGGATGTTGCTTATCTTCTTCACCTGTGGGAAGAGTGAGCACAGTGCTTGGCACATAGAAGCTCAAATGCATGCTGAAAGAGTCAATATGATAGTAATTTGACTTGAAACAATTACTGACTCATACTAGAGAGCCATTAAAATTTTTTGAGTTTGACTAAATCAGTCAAAGTACGGTTCCTGGACCAGCAGCATCAGTATTACCTGGACCTTGGAAATGTAAATATTTGGGTCTATCCCAGACCAACTGAATTAGATACTCTTGAGGCAGGACCCAGGAAGTCTAATCATTCCTCCAGGTGATTCTGATAAAAACTAAAGTTTGAGAACCCCTGCTTTAAATAGCCTGATTTACAATAAAGATACTATTATGATAGGTAGTCTTAAATAAGCAGATAAGAGGGTATTCTAAGATCCCAGAAAGTGGTTTAAGAATATTGTTTCAATGAGGGCAACAAGTTTTCTATTGTGTTCAAAGCCAACACAGTGGTTTGAGCTTCATGTTCTCTAAGATCAACTGAAGCAGAATGATGAATAATCTTCCTTCACTTACTTCTTTGACCTAACACTAAATATTATACTTATTTTATTTTTTTCTTGTTGCACTCACTACACTATAACTTGATGGTTAACTAGTTTCTGAACTTAAACTCCTTAAGGGAAGGCTTCCTTAAGACTTTATAACTATTCTTGTAAACTTTAAGTGCTATATAAAGGCAAGGGATAATTTTTCTTTTAAAAGAAGCTTCCTGTTTACTATGGGTCACTCTTTTAGAATAAAATCATACCTCGATTAGCATTTACTAGGTGAATTAAAAACTGTGGGTATGGAACCTGGTCAGTGTGGTTCGGTGGTTGAGCGTTGACCCATGAACCAAGAGGTCCCTTAATTGAATGCTGGTGGGGGCACATGCCTGGTTGCTGGCTCAATCCCCGCTAGGGGGCGTGCAGGAGGCAGCCAATAGATGTTTCTCATCCATGTTTCTATCTCTACTAGAGGCCCGGTGCATGAAAATTCATGCACTGGAGTGGGGGGGGGGGTCTCTCAGCTCGGCCTGCCCCCTCTCTCAGTCTGGGAGCCCTCAGGGGCGGGAGGCGACCCGGCGATCAGGGGAAGGCGATGTCCCCATCACACCTCTGCTGCTGCCATGGCCGGCAGCACAAGCCTCGGCCGGCCCTGGTTACCTGAGCCTCGGGTGGCACTGGGTAGCTGGGCAGCCGCCATTCAAGGCTTGCCTGTGCCTTAGGCTGGCCCTGGGCAGCTGGGGGCTGAGGGGACTGAGGGACTCCAGAGGCAGGTGCGCGGCAAGGCCGGGCCTGGGGGCAGGCCCGGCCTTGCTGCGTGCCTGCCGCTCCAGTGGGGCTGAGGGGACTGGGCGCCATCATCTTGTGGCTGTGGGTGCTGCCATCTTTGAGGGCAGGGCAGTCAATTAGCATATTCCCTCCTTATTGGCCATGGGCACCGCCATCTCTGCGACGGCGTGAGGGTCAATTAGCATATTCCCGCTTTATTAGATAGGATATCCCTCTCCCTTCCTCTCTCATGCTGAAATCAATAAAAAACATATAAAAAAATAGTGGCTATGGAGAAAATGGACAGAAATATAGAATTGTGTGTGTGTGGGGGGGGGGAAATAAGAATGCTATTTTTTGTATAATGGACTTTTATTTACTGGAAATGCAGCCCCCAAAGAATCAAATGAGCTTGAATTTAGTGTTTTAAAAAAGTTAATTACAATCACATTCAAAGGAGAAGTAAAACTCAAAAGAATCAATACTACTGCAAGATAGCTTGGCTTTCCATACTGCTGTTCATGTTTTAATTCATCCCAACTGGCTCCTGACCACAGCTTTTTTCCCCAAGCTGCCTTACTTTTACCACAACAGATCACTTGCAACT